CAACCCCGAGATCGACTGGCAGACGAAGGAGGTGACCATGAGCCGCTGTCCGTCCGGATGCGATACCTGTTGGAAGGAGTTCCGCCATGACAAGCTGACCCGACGCAAGGAGTCCGTACGACTCCGGGAGTGTCGTACGGGTCCGATGCCAATGGTCGAGGAACTGCACTCAGACGATCTCCCGCAGCTTCAGGACTGCGAGGACGACGACGAGGACGATGAGGCCACAACTCCGGACGACTCCGGACTTGAGAAGGGCGACCGTATCTTCGCAGCCATTCCTCCTCCGACTCCGGAGTACCTTCGGAGTCTTCGGGAAGAACACGTCCGAGCTTCGAAGACGGTCTCGCAGCGCCTCGCATTGGCTTTCCAGCGCAACAAGCCCCACGATCCTCGGAACAGCGCAGTCCCGGACTTCCTCCAGGAATTCGAGGACGTCTTCGCCAAGGAGTCCTTTGATGAACTGCCCATGCCGTGTCCGTGGGATCACGCCATTGAGCTAATGGACGGAGCGGAACCGACCTCTACCAAATGCTACCCGCTGTCCCCGCGGAGCAGAAACAGCTGGACGAGTTTCTGGAAGAAAATCTCTGGACTGGTCGGATCCGCCCCAGCAAGTCGCCCATGGCTGCCCCGGTGTTCTTTGTTAAGAAGAAGGACGGATCACTCCGCTTGGTCCAGGACTACCGGAAGCTCAACAGCATGATGGTCAAGAATCGGTACCCACTTCCGCTCATCTCGGACTTGGTGGATAAACTCCGGAATGCTTGCTACTTCTCCAAGCTCGACGTCCGGTGGGGTTTCAACAACGTCCGGATCAAGGAGGGCGACGAGTGGAAGGCCGTGTTCCGGACTACGCGCGGACTCTTCGAACCGTTGGTAATGTTCTTCGGACTGACGAATAGCCCATCCACCTTCCAGACCATGATGAACGACCTCTTCCGGGAGCTCATTACGGAAGGTGTAGTCATTATCTATCTGGATGACATTCTGATCTACACCAAGACGCGCAAAGAGCATCGCCGGGTTCTCAAGCGAGTCCTAGAGATCCTCCAGCGGAACAAGCTCTTCCTCCAAGCGGACAAGTGCGATTTTGAGCAAACCAAGGTGGAATATCTTGGAGTCGTCATCTCCGAGGGTAAGATCGAGATGGACCCTGTGAAGGTCTCCGGAGTTGTGGACTGGCCAACCCCTCGGACTCGGACTGAACTCCAATCCTTTCTTGGGTTCGTCAACTTCTACCGCCGCTTCATCAAGGACTACTCGCATATTGCCCGGCCTCTCTTCGACCTCACTTGCGCAAAGGAATGGCAGTGGAACGACTCCGCTCAATCCGCATTTCTTCGGATCAAGGAGCTGATCACTTCGGAGCCCGTTCTGGTCTTTCCAAAGGAGGATCGGCCTTACCGGGTTGAAGCGGACTCGTCAGATTACGCTACGGGTGCGGTCTTGTCGCAGCTGGATCCGGATGATGGTGGACGAAGGCCCAAAGGCATCCGCCCATGGGTGAACTCCATCCGCTTCCCATTCCGGATGAATGCTGGGATCGCCTGAGTGTTGACTTCATCGTCGAGCTTCCGGAGTCCGATGGGTTTGATGCTGTCATGAATGTGGTCGACTCCGTAAGCAAACGCGCCCACTTCATTCCGACTCACACCACAGTGTCTGCCCTCGGATCCGCAAACTTGTACCTGCAGAACGTCTGGAAGCTGCACGGACTCCCTCGGTCCGTTGTGTCCGACCGGGGTCCGCAATTTGTCGCAGAGTTCACCCGAGAAGTCTACCGGATGCTCGGAATCAAGCTGGCTGCCTCCACTGTGTACCACCCTCAGTCCGGCGGACAGACGGAACGGACCAACCAGGAACTCGAGTCCTATCTCCGGATCTTCGTCGGAGAGCGTCAGGACGACTGGGCTCGCCTCCTACCTATGGCGGAGTTCGCGTACAACAACCGGGTCCATGCGTCCACTCAGCAGTCACCCTTCCTCCTGGATACCGGCCGTCATCCTCGTCTCGGGTTCGAACCTCATCAGCCACCGTCTCGGATGGAGTCCGCAAACGAGTTTGTAGACCGGATGAAATCCGCAGTTGACGAGGCTCAGTCCGCATTGGTCAAGGCTCAGGACGACATGAAGCGCTACTACGATCAGCGTCGGACTCCCGCTCCGGAGTACCAACCGGGTGACAAGGTCTGGCTGGACTCGTCGGACATCAACCTTGCCCGACCCTCCCGGAAACTCGGACACACACGACTTGGTCCTTACAAGGTCGTCCAGAAGGTTGGCAAGGCAGCGTACCGGCTCCAGCTCCCTCCGGGCTTATCCCGTCTCCATCCCGTCTTCCCTGTGGTCAAACTCTCTCCCTTCGTTCTGGACCCCATCCCGGGTAGACGCCCTGTTGCTCCGCCACCTCCGCAGCTCGTTGACGGAGAAGAGGAGCATGAGGTAGAAGAGGTCCGGAATAGCAGACGGTTCGGTCGGGTCCTGAAGTATCTGGTGCGCTGGCGAGGCTATGGTATCGAGCACGACTCCTGGGAGCCCACGAGCAACCTCCAGCATGCCGCCCGGAAGGTCAAGGACTTCCATGATCGTCACCCGGACGCAGTACGCGTACTCCGGACGAGTCCGATGAATCCGACGACTGCTCTACCTCTCCGGATGACTCCTGCGGCACTGGACCAGTCCTGGGAGTGTTGGCGCAGTCGGAAGGCTCCGGGCTCCGTGCAGTCGTACTTCGACATCTTCTCGCAGCAATCCGGAGTTTCGGGGTTGGTGAATTCATGGCGCGGCAGGCAGGAATCTTCGCGTCAGGTCGCCGCAACCTTGAAGGGGGGGTGATGTAAGGGGACACTCCTATTTTCTCCTATCCCCCCTGTCCCGCCCCCTTCCTCCTCATTCCTTTCCCCTTTCCTTCATTCCCTTACCTTTCCGCTTCCCTTCCGTTCACTCCCTTCGCATCCAAGCCCCGTCCGGTGACTCCGAAGTCTTCCCGCGCTTCGGACTCGCCTCGGACTCGCTCGGACGCCTCGGACTCGCTCAGACACTTCGGACTCGCTCAGACTCGTAGATACACTTTGGGGCTCGTCCGGGCTACCTCTATCCTCCTTTCCCACTTCATTACTCCTTGTCCCCACTTCCCCAGGTCGCTGGCACGACTCCTGTACATTCCCCTTCCACTTCATTATCACATGCCCCCTCATACCTTGTGATATTCATTCGTACCTGTGGCTGGTGTACTGTACAGTTACCCTTCATTCCTCCCACGCTACTACAGTATATACTTCGCTTCCTAGCATGGAGAATCCCCATCCTGTTCTCTTTGGATTCTCCCTCTGCTAGGTGAGCAGCTCTCTCATGTATTGTAGTTAGTCTTATTCATTTCTTTGGATTCTCCCTCTGCTAGGCCTGTGCTGTCGGCCATCTTGAGGTTGCCCTTACACTTGCCCTACGTTCGTTTCTGTTACATGAACACCGTCAATGCCTCCACCGGTTTCTCACCCTTCCAATTACACCTTGAATGTTCCCCTTGGACGATGCCTCCCCTTGTCAACGAGGCAAACGCCGAGAACATCAATGCTAGACGGTTGGCAGAGATTGTCGACAGATACACCTGTGACGCTAAGGACTCCCTTCTGGCTGCAAAGATTGCTCAATCCATTTATGCTAACATTTCACGCAGACAGGACGTTCAATTCAAAGTTGGGGATTTCGTTTACCTTTCAACATCCAATCAATGCAGAGAATATACACATGGTAGCGACGGACACGTAGCCAAGTTCATGCCCTGCTTTGACGGACCGTACAAGATAACAAAGGTGTTCCCTGAGAAGTCCACGTACACGCTACTTATGCCGAACTCGCCCAACGTCTCCCCTACTTTCCATGCCTTGCAGCTTTGTCGGTTCATCCCAAATGACACCTCTCTCTTCCCCTTACAGGAACTCAAACAACCTCAAAGCATCGAGACGGATGACAGAGAGGAATGGCTGGTGGATAGGATTCTGGATGAGAAGCGTGGTCGAAAGGGTAGAGAGTTTTTGGTTAGATACTGTGAATATGGTGCCAAAGAAGACTGGTGGTTGCCCCTCCGAGATGTTGATGAACTTGAAGCTCTTGATGTATGGCTTGCTTTGAAGGAATCCGAAGCCCTCATGAATGCCTCAGCCTGCAAAACACCCATGACTACCTTACGACGTTGCTCCCCTTGTGGTGTCCAACTCTTGGAGGGTGGGCGAGTGTAAGCCCGCGTGCTTACCTACCTCCTACTCCCCTGACCCCTGGACCACATGTTTGACGTATATATACATGTGTCCCTGAGATAGACTACTTACTTCCCGCTTGTACCACAACTCCCATCTTTGTATGAATATCACCCCCGTGTTTGAACCTTTCACATTGAACAATTACCTCTGAGTGTTGTGCCTTCGGGCTCTCTTCCAGGGGTGCCTTCCCATCTATGTACTGCTGGTAGTAAGTTTCCCACATTGATCTTTTCCCTTCACTTCATCTTCCTTCTTTCCAGATCTCAGTAGCAGTGTTGAGATTGAATTGTGTGCTATCCCCTCCCCTATTTACCATGACCTATTTGGAGAAGTGAGGAACAGGGGACCCATACATGCCAGGCTGTGCAGTGGCTGCAGCCCCAAGTTTGTTCCTTCATCAATTATTGAGTTTCAATATTACTACTTTCATTTGGGTGTTATATTCACAACTCAACCCCATGTGTGAAGCATGGGTTCGCAGCTAGTAATAGATTAAAGTTGAGATATAAGTCTGGGGTACACACCACAGTTAGCCAATACACTTCTCATTGATTTCCGATAGTTTCTGCAACGTTACGATGCAGTTGAAAATTATCAAAGTGAAAGGTACATATTTAGGCGCCTCCTACCAAGTCACTTGATGAGAAGATGTGACTGGCACTGTTAGGCGTATTGAATGACCGCGTGAAATCTCCACGTGACCGCACCGCTGCGCCACAGCGGTTGTTGCTGAACCACCATGTCCAGAGCGCAAACTCCAGTCAATTCGCAGCGTCCTCCCTTGGATGGCGTCCACAGCACACCGCAGTCCGCAGGATCCGGCTCAAATCTCACCTATGACACCCAATCTACGCGCCTACACTACTCACCGTATCTGTACCAAGACCTCAGCAACGAGAAGATTATGGCCTTTGAAGATTTCTGCAAGACCATCTTCGACTTCGACTTTGACCAGCCAAAGAAACCAATAACGAAGAAACTCCGCACTCTTCTTGATCGCTATCGCCTTCCCGTCACAGAAGAGACCGGCAGATACGAGCCATTCATTCTGCTCGCTAATGAAATTCTGCGAGAATGCGGTTCGGAATACGTATTTGTCCGAAACGATCCCAAGTACCTCTGGGGTATTGACCCCGGCCGCAAGCCCGACATCTTGCTCGTCCACAAGTCTGCGTCGCTTCTACGAGAACCTATCGTCCAAGGACCCGAGGTGGCGTTTCATCCGTGCGACATCATCTCCTTCCACGAGTTCAAACTCGTTCAGAAGGATTTGAGAGTACCAATCCCGCCTCGGCCTACACCATGTGAGTTGCGAAGGATATATCAGGCTTTCTAGCAGTGACGCAGCGTTTACAGCGGTCAAGGAAACCTTTGGACCTTCCGCTCAGAAGCGAAAAGCGAGCACGTCGGAGCATGCGACAGAGGGCCGCGTTCGTAAAAGCCCCCGTCCCAGTTCCTCTTCGACCAGTGTGGCACGCACAAAAGGAAGCGATGTAGCTGCTGGACGAGGCCTAGAAGTACCCGTAGAGGAGGAGGCGTCGAGTACTGCCCTTGTACATCATCCCCTGATTCAATGCGCAAGCTACGCATTGGAGATGCTCTCCAAGGGATTCCGTCGACACGTAATCGGCTTCCTCGCTACCGATGGCCAGATAGAGTTCCTGTATTACGATCACTCTGTGGTCTTGCGTTCCTCGCCGTTCAGTTTTGTCGACAATCTCGACCAGTTTCACCAAATCATCTCGCATTTGGGTCGCATGCCTCTCGACCGTTATGGCTTCTGCTCCAATGTGATCCTGGCAACCCCGGATTGCATGTCTGATCGCTTGTACAACATGAGGAACAAGGATAGACAAACGATTGCGAACACCTTCGAGGGCCTCAATCTGACGCTCAACAACGGGCTCGTGCTTACGCTGGGACACATCGCCTACCAGCCTCATGGGTTAATTGGGCGAGGCACTTTGGTCGTGAAAGTGCAAGCGGGCAGTAATGTTCCTAAGGAGTGGCCTGAACGGGTTGTCGCCAAGCTCAGCTGGCTACCGAGCTCGCGGGAACCAGAACACGACATATTGAAGGAGATTCAGAAAGCCATCGTTCGCGACCCTTCAGCTGCATGGGTTTCGGATCATCTTCCCAACGTCCTGTATTCGCAGGTCTGCGATGCACCTGACGGCATCGTCGCTTCTCTTGTCCGACACTTTAAAGACGATTACGAGGAGAGGAGACTTTATCTACTGGTCATGGAAGAGCTAGGCTGTATCGACGCAATCAAAGACTGCGACTCGCTTAAGACAGCGTATAAGCAAATCGTTCGATGTAAGTCACCTCATCAAGCTTTCAGCGTAGCCTCACGAGGCCTCTACCAGGTCATCATTGGGTCTACGAGAGGGCGGGGATATTGCACCGTGACATCAGCGTGAAGAACCTGATGTTCCGGCAAAAGAACGACACCATTGTGGGGGTTCTGAACGACTTTGACCTGGCGACACCGGCAGCAAAGCTCGACAAGGGGCCGACATCGAAACAAAGGACGGGAACATGGCCGTACTTGGCGATCGAACTTCTTGATCCGTCGACTTGGCTTCAACCTCCTCCACATCTGTATCGATACGATCTGGAGTCCTTCTTTTGGGTTCTGCTCACCCTAGCAGTCGATCCAGACAAGTCTGTCACGTACAATATCCTGCGGTGGTCGGAATATGATCACGTCACATTATACAATACAAAGTCGTCATTCTTCTTCAATGTTGGGATTCAGGAGACTCCGTTGCAACCCCAATACGAGCGCTTGAGGGATCGGCTAACTCATTTGGCGTATCTCTTTGATGACGCAAAGAGGGCACGAGTACGTTCTTCCTCGAACACCATTGTTGAAATGGTTACCGCAGAGACCTTTTTAAAGATTCTTAGTTCTTAAAATTTCGTCGGATGTCTTGACGTCCAATATCATAACTTTTCTCGCGCCCTTTGGTTAAAAACATCAGAGGACCAGAACGCAGAGATCCTGGTAGCAATATGCAGAGATCCCAAACCCGCGTTGTATGAGTTCGAAAATGCCTGCTGTGAAGAACGAAGCAGCTAGTCGGATCTTCAAGTGCGCCTTCAATATGACCTTCTGGAGTCGCTTCACCCCATCCTACAACCATTTGCCATTGGGTATAGAACCAGCGAGGATAGCCTCCTCAGGCTGCGACTTCAGACAGGGTGTCGACCGGGCCGTATGCAGTGGCAATTCCCGTGGGTTCACATACAGTGCCAGGCATTAGGGTCGCATGATGATATTCTCCTTCATGGGGTTAGAGAAGGAAGGAAGAAGTGCGGCGACGGGACCGCAGGCGCTCAGCGCCAACAGAAGTCTTCGACATTTTCCAACAATGGACACGGAAAGAATTCGTGTACTATCGGTTTCCACCACGCTCATTTAACGTGACCAGCAACGCTAGTAGGTGCCGGAAACTAGTGTAAACAGTGTGAAATACTGCGACGAAGTAGGAGACGGCCTACGCGAAGTATCGAGAACATAACGGTCACCGTCGCGGATTTCAGTCATCGCTGTTGGAGCACGTCGCTCTCTTTTTTTCCCCGTTCTTCTGGATTGTTCCTTTCCTTTGGGTCAGCACCCCCAGGGCCAGAATCCAGATGTTTGGGTCACCATCGGCACAGACTTCGGAAACGCCTTGCAAGGTAAATCTCTGCCGTGAAGGAGTGTTGGTGGGGTCGGTGGGTAGCTCCGCCGTGGCCCTTCCATGTCCTATCTGTGCCTGGGATTGAGCCGAGAAGTAAGCCGTAAGACATAGCGGCGACGTTTGTTTTGGAGATTGAGTGGAACCAGGGAGTCGTTGAAGCGGCGGGACCTAGATATTCTCGTACGGCCGTCTATTTACTACCATCACCCTCACTCGTTGCGCTGTATTGACATTCGTCGTCGCAAACCTCTGCTGGCTGTCCCTCGCTATGTTGCTCAGTTATACGTGAGCGCAGGGGAAGCAAGCGCAAGGGCGTAGCGTAATCCGTTCAAGCTGCTCGGAGGCGAGCAGAGTCCAGCGTGGGGTCACTCCCAATGTCTTCGATAAGATAAGAGCTGTTCATATCCCTTTATGTCGTTCCATATGTATTGCGAACTGTTCCCAAGGGCGGCCAGAAAACAAGACCGAGCACGTTTGTTTTTTCTGGGAGTAACCCCAGTCGAAGAACCCTCGTTCTGGAGACTCTGGAAACGTTATGACAGTTACGCATATACGTACTTGGGTGCCACAATCTAGAAGCCAGACTTATTCGGAGCTGCTGTACGATGGCCTTGCGGCGGAGAGTCAGATATAGAGTGAATTCAATTGAAGTGACGAGAGAGCATCCTCACGTCGTATAAAAGGCACTCGTTATCATCTATCTTTGCCTCAATCACGTCCATTGCAATGACTTCCGTACCTGCAACCGCTCCTACTACAGTCCGTGGTGCTCAGAGGTCCCTTCGTCCTCCCGTAGAGGCGTTCCGTCGCTTTGGGTGGCTACCTCAGAGCCCCGATGCCTACGACAAATGGATGAGCAAAATGCACGCCAAGATGGCCCCCCTCGCTGCTCATATGCCGGGGCCAGGCATCACCTACGGCACTGATAAGGAGGCTCCTGCGCTCCTAGTACCCATCCAGGAGTTCAAGGACTTCATCGAGGGCAATGTGGTGGTCTTCACAGACCTCGTCCGCATGTTCGATGGCATGACCGAATCTGTGAGTAGGCGGGGCCACCTTTACGGGGTTTCCATTTGAAGCTTTCGACTTACGGATGATTTCTTGCAGCCCACGAGTTACCAGGAGATGCTCCTGATGTTCAACGAGATCTTCCGCGAGGCTCCCTCGTTCGGTTCCCTGGGCCCTCCAATGTACATGATCATGGCCAGGGTGATGAACACAGAGGGAGGCTTCTCTGCGTTCACCAAGGAATCGCTCAACCTGCAGTTCAAGAAAATGTTGCAGACGTGGGAGCGGTACCTATTGTCGAAGGATTCCACTTCTGTCCTCAACACCAACCCCGATGGATGGTTCTCCACTGAGGCTATTGACGCCATGATGGAGAAATACGCTCCTGGGAGGACCTTTGCCGAGGTGTTCATTTGTAACCCAGACGAGGACGCTTGGGGCTTCACCTCCTACGAGGACTTCTTCGTCCGTCGCTACCGCGAACCTGATGTCGACCGTCCTACAGGTGATGTTAGCGACCTCCGCATCGTCGGGGCAGCATGCGAATCCGCCTTTTACGCTCTCCAGAACGACGTCCAGAGGACAGATGAGCTGTTCATCAAGGACGAAGCCTACTCCCTCGTCCACTTGCTTGCAGGTGACGAGTCCGTCGACTCCTTCATCGGTGGCACTGTCATCCAATCCTTCCTGAACACCACCGGCTACCACCGCTGGCACGTTCCTGTGAACGGAACCATCAAGAAGATTGTCGACGTCCCCGGCACCTACTTCGCACAGGCACCTAGCTTGATTGGCTTGGAGACGGGCCCCGACGAGCTCCCTCCCTACCTCCAATCGCTGCAGTTCTTCGCCAATACCGCGGCTCGCCAGCTCATCTTCATCGAAGCTGAAAACACGCAGATCGGTCTCATGTGCTTCATTGCCATCGGTATGACCGAGATTTCTTCGTGCGAAGCCACGGTTTTCGAGGGCCAACACGTCACCCGAGGCGAGGAACTAGGCATGTTCCACTTCGGTGGCTCGTCGAGTGCGATGGTGTTCCGCGCGAGCGCCGGTGTTCAATTTGGGGGTGAATACATCGAGCCAGGTGCACACATTCCTATCAACGCGCCCATTGGGGTTGCCAATATCTGATCGTCACATCTTTGACCCAATGCTCGAGTACCTGTGGAAGATTAATTGAATGTAGCTTGTGACATGACCTGAAACAGACTGTTTATGAATGTAACAATGTTTTCGAAATTCCCGATAGTGGTTCAAACGTTCAAAGCACGAGTAATAGAACCTCCGTGGCAGAGACACGAGCGCCTAACAACTCTTTCCTTACACTTCCAAGTTCGACGTTTCTTAAAGCCAAGTACTCCTCCAGAATCAATTTGTTGAATAACTGCTCCCCCTCAAAGCATAATCTCCACGTCGTTTCCCTACACGCGGGGTACACCCTCTAACCGAAGCAGGATGCTAGCGAACGAAACCCGGATGCGCGCTGCCATGCCGAACTCCCCTCGCCTCCACGCAACGCGATCACACTCAGTCTTACGCTACGCTTTTGTAATTGCTCTATATGTGGCTCTGATCTACTTGGGAAGTGTCGCGAGCAACGGCGGGCAGACGCCTTCGACGGCGAGCCTCACTCCATCTCAGGGCGGGCAGGCAGCGATGGTAGATGGCCGCTGGAAGACCGTTCGAAAGTCTCTGGGTCTCCCGCTTCTTCCACTAGGGCAACTACGACTCGCTGGATCCACTCAGCAGCCTAAATCAAAATCAAGCACGTCCGGACTACGCTACAATCTCCAGCTTACCTCTCGATTCAACCTCAGACACAAACGCGAATTCGAAGAGGCCAAGCCCGACCTACCGATCACTCCGCCGACCCCGCCAGCTCTGTTCTTCACGGAGGAGGCCCTCGACGAGCCGACGATATCTTACTCTGCGTTTCTGAAGAGTTTGCAAATGGCGAGCGAGGCATCTGGTCAGGCGGGTAATGCGAAAGCCAAAGCTAAAGGAACGCTACAGAAAAGCGAGGGGAAGAAGACAGCGACCCCAAGGTGGTTCAAGCGGGACGACTAGACCCGACCTTCAATCAATCTTCAATGCTACGGATCTCAACACACGACCTCTAATATCAATGCTACAACCTATAATCGTATTTCCACACTAAACGCAGGACGTCTGCAGCTTCGTCGCGCTATTTTACTTTGACTATACTAGTGGCCACTACGTAACAGCCGGAGATATCTCTACAGCAATGATCACATCTTTCGAATTGTTTTCGGTTTTCGGTTCGTGCGACAGCACGGTGGCTGTTCTCTATCAGCTCACGAACGCTTCATAGGACCGAAGGTAAGCTACAAGGTCGACATCTTTCTGTCCCGAGGAATTGATACGCAGCTCACGCATATCCTCGATATCCTCGAGCTATATGCGAAGTCTCGCACAAAAAACAGTCTGGTTGTGGTCCTCAAGCAATGGATCGAAGGAAACAAAGCACTTACCCGAAACGCACCATCTATAACTTATCGGACTATTGCTTTTACTGTGCTTGGATGTTGCAAGCCATCGGGAGTGTTGGACTGCATAAAGATCGGCTTGTGGCGAGTCCCTGATCTGATTGTCGGGTATGTTCAAAGCGGTATGTTCAAAGCTGAGACCTCCGCCTTCAGTTGATCGCCACCTTTCCACATTAGTCTTCGGGGTCTTAACTCAGAAGACATGGATACTTACCTCTGGATTGCCATCTGGTCACGCGGAAATGTCTCCGTGCAACAGACCTCAGGACGTGTCTTTTTGCAAGCGCAGCGAGTCGGTTATCGTGATTTCTTTCTGGCTGAAATATCTTCTTTGGCGTTACTCTGGATCATGAGATGTGTGAATTATGCTTACCGTTGTAGGTCTGCACAGAAAACCGACGCGTTAGATGAAGTTTTCACCTTGGGTGGCCATTTTTTGGTAAAGATTGCTGATTCAGTGCACAGGCGTCACAATACTCCCTCAACATGGACCGCGGGGCGCGGCGGCGGTAGCTCGCTTGAAAGTGCTAGGGCATATGTTCAATGTATATTCACAAATCAGTGTTATGTTTCTATTTGCGCAATGACGGTGTGCAAGGACTTGAGTGAGATGCCTGATAAATGCTCACACACTGGTTGTTTGCCTCAAGCTCGGGCTCTCCTTCAGGAGATGGAAGGACACGCAAATCTAGATACTTTTGGATGCAGCATGTAGGGGAACACCGTGCTAGTTCAGAAAAGGTGAAACACAAGCGCTGTCAGCGCTTATATATGTCGACCGAAATTACCACGTTTACATTCATCACCTCAACGTACCGCACCGTCTGAATCCTCTCCGGTCGCGCATAGCGCTCATACCTACTAAGCCGTACCCTAATTTCTACTTGACTCCTCTCCTCGTGCACGAATCCTCATGAGCCCATCCTCGGTCGTATTTTCTCCGCTCCTTGCACTCCTTGTCTCCTTAACTCTCCTTGCGCCAATACCCACAAACGCCATCAAATTCTCCCTACAGTCGTACCGCTACCCACCTACAAAGTGCATCTGGAACACCGCGCATGCCAACACCCTCGTCATCGTAACAGCGAATGTCGGTCCCGGCGAGAAACAGCGCGTAGATATCGAAATTATCGACTCAAGCGAACAAAAGAATGTGTACTTGAGCAAGCGGGATATCAAGGGAGAGACGAGGCTGGCTATCACGACACACGCTGAGGGAGAAGTCGGAGTGTGCTTCAAGAACTACCAGGATCCCGGTGCGTGGTCTGACTCTTAGGAAGCCAGGAATTCCGTCTCATGGATGTGTAGACGTTCCATACGCGGACAGCGCAAACCTGAACCGAGTCATCGACCTAGACGTCGATATCGGTGCGGACGCAGTCGATTATAAGTGAGTCGCAACTGCCGTATTTCTATTCACGGGACCGCATTTGAACCTGCGTCGACAGTGCCATAGCGAATCAGGAATCCCTCTCCAGTCTCGAAACAGAAATGCGCAAACTCGAAGGCCTCACCAAGGAGATCGTTGATGAACTAGGGTACCTCAAAAAGCGAGAGGAGAGGTTCACCGACACCAACCGTACGTGCTCTATGAATCTGTTTCTTCGCTAGCTGTCTTACCCTTCTTACCCTTACCCAGTATCAACAAACCAGCGCGTGCAGAATTTTGCCATGTTCTCCATATTCTCATTCACCGCCCTGGGGGTGTGGATGATCTTCCACATGCGCGCGTTCTTCAAGCGCAAGTACTTAATTGATTAGTTGCTGGCTGGTGCATTCTATCGCTATATATAACGCGTTATGAGCTGAGTCGCTGCTTTTCTTTTGTACATGAGAGTGCGAGTGGAAATGGAGAATGCGCGTCTACAATCCGTAATCGAAATGGTATGTCAGGATGTGGTATGCAGCGGCGAACCTTGCCTACGGAAATGATAGCTACTAGCCAGATGAGAAAAAATGTGAAATTTGAAACCGAGAGAAACGTCAATGTACGAAACTATGTAGATTGCGGGGGGAGGAGAGATAACCGTTCGGCTGGAAGTAAGACACGGATATGGATATGATAGACACTTTCAACGAACACTGCCCGACGCTCACCAGTAACAACTCACAGTGAAGATAATGAATCAGCACTTCACTTTTCGGTGACAGCGCCAGATCCGGGGCCTGCACCTGGAGTCTTTACTGAGGGATCAGAATCAGAGCGGTGCAGGAAAGCCAGGCCTTCAGGCCGCTTCGAGGATAGCGAGTATGTCCTCGAAGGCTTGGTCCCACCTTCTCCTTCATCGACTTCGTCAGGACTCTCCACCAAGTCCTGCTGCGGCGCCCCGGCCTCAGCTGCCGCCTGGCTGTTGCCTCCACCCGAACCGCCCTCTTCACGCGTCTTCATGATCTCCCTCTCGACGCTATCGCTCGCCCCGCCGCTAGGCCCAGGTGCGGGTCCAATTGGTCCATAATATACCGGCATCTGATAGACGTTATCAAAGTACCCCGCAGGTTCTTGTCCTAACGTAATCTCGCCTGGGGAGAAACTGCCGCCACCGTATCCATACATCCCCATCGCACCAGGACTATGCATTGCTTGTGGGTGGCCGCCGTGGACGTGCATATGCACTGGTGCGCCGACAGCAGGGTTTATGAAAGGGTTACCCTGGCCACCAGGTCGGTACACGGAGCCAGGGGAAATTGCTATGCCGGGGGAGAAGGAGGACATCATGTGGTGATGGACAGCTGGATGTGTCGCGTGCTGATACGTTTGCTGGATGTGCGTCGGGACGATGTGGTGCGGAGAGGAGGGTCCCATGGTGGTCGGGGTGAAGGTTGCCTGTGAGGGCGAGGGTAAGTTACCAAGCGTCATCCCGCCCATCCCCATGCTCATGACGCTAGCGTGGGCGTAGTGTATGCCAGAGCTATTCTGGTCTGGGTGATGGTGAATCGGCGACGGTTGCGGTAAGAACGTAAACGGCGGCATGGACGGTGTAATTGGAGGCAGTCCATGCGGTGTCATTGGAACGACCGAAGGGTGTAAGCCATGACCTGGGTATGATCCATTTCCACCATATCCGTAACTCGAACTGGCGGACATGTCAGCGGTAGCGGCGGACATCCCCATGCTTGAGTTAGCGTTCGTCGGTGTCGCACCAGGGTGGTACGTTGGCGACCCAGGATGATGTAGAGGGGAGCCCATACCCACGGGCACCATCATTCCATGGGGTGATAGCGTATGAGGCAAAATCGGGAAGCTGGTGACTGGAGGGGGGAGCACGATGGGGCCAGGATGGTGTGGATGCTGTTGCTGGGCCTGTTGCTGCGTCTGCGTAGGTGGTTGCGTGTGCCGTGGAGACCGGACATTCGGTCTACGGTGGGCATTATTGTGCTGAGTTTTGGCCTGTGGAGGCGACGATGGTCGAGTTGCCTCCTGGGATGGTTTTGCAAGGGAGATGGGCTCAGGTTGGGAGCGGGAGTGAGGGATCTTTGGGGGATCAGGTTTCCGTCCAGCGGCATCATCAGTTGCTCGCCTCTTCATGACTTCTTCGTTGGCACCCAGGGTGTGCTTCGAGCTGCTTTCATGGCTGAGGGTATTGTCATCGTCCTGGAGAGAGGCAGGTGTCGACTGCACAGGCTGAGGCGAACGCTGATCGGTGGTAAAACTGGACGCTGCGGTGGAAGACACCCCGCCCGAGCTGCCAGTGCCTGAGACCGACCGGCTCGCAGTGGTTGACGCTGGACTCCATGAGCTAGTCGACGTGCCAGAAGCCTTTCCTGAACCCGTACCGGCAACGAGAGAAGGACGCCTAGCAGTGCTGTGCACACTGCTTTCTCTATCTCTATGTCCCTCCCTCGTAGCTGCACGAGAGCTATAATTTGATGTGTGATTCCCCTGGTTAGATGCAAGCGTGCCTCCTTTGTCAAGCATACCACTCCCTCGTTCTGCTGACTCTTCGGCCCCGTGGGTCAATGTTAGCGACCGCACTAAGTCATCAATGTCCAACCCAGTCTGATCATCGCGCCGTGAAGTAGATCGCTCCCTTCCAGAAATCGCTCTCCCGCGATCTTCACTGCTTTCCCAATCTAAATCTGCCTCCCTCCTCTTTCCCCACTGTCTATCCCAACTACGAGACTGCTCGGCGTAGGTGGGGTTGCTATACCCTTTATCTGGCTCATAGGCCGCGAGCAGATGGGCTCGCGCGCGTTCCTGCTGCCTCAACAGAGACTCGTACCCTACCGGATCTGTATCCCTGTCCCTCGCGGCCCTTCTTTCCCTCTCTTGGAAACTTGCTAATAAGGACTCGCTCTCGCTGTTGCTGAGACCCGACATTCCGCTGACGGATTTAGGCAGCTTGTCCAGCAACGAACCCGCAGAAGATCCACTTGCGCTCGCAATCATCTCCGCCAAGGTATTCATTTGCGGTGAGGGCGAAGGGTAGGAAGTAGGTGCGAGGGACTCGGGGAGTGAAAGTGAAGTAGGCTGAGTGCTGCGCTGCTGCTGAGCGGCTGAAACGCGAGGAGCGACTGGATGTTGGTATGCTTGCATGGATTGAGCTAGTGGACTTTGCGTCAGGCTCTGCGCGAGCGATGATGATGACGATGCAGCGAATGAATGCTGGTGGATGGGAGAGTACGGCTGACTCGGGGGGAGTGAGTGTGTATAGGCGAAAGGCTGTTGTTGAGACGATGAGCTCATAGGAGGGGGCAAAGCGTTGCTATTCGAAAATGCTCGGGAATGAGCAGGGCTGGGAGATACGTGCGAGCTTTCCTGGGCCATCGGCGACACGGGAGTTGACATCATCTTATTTTGGAAAAAGTCTATGTCTTCAGCGTAACTTCGAGGGAAATCGTTGCCCATATGGTATTCATCAAGGAGAGACGCGTTGGCGGAAAGTAGGGACGAGTTTCGAGCCATCGAATCTGGTTGAAGGGACATGTCGAATGGGGGAGGTCCCAATGCGGCTTGCGATTGCGAGAATTTGTCAAAGTGGACTTTCAGCGTACGACCGTTGAAATCATAGCTATATGGCACAAGGTCAATGCCGACTTCAAGAATGTATGTCATTATGAGTGCTTACCCGTCAAACGTCCGCCTCGCCCGTTCAGCTTCCTCTTCGGTGCGGAATACGACGGTGCCAAACCCTCGACTCCTACCATCCGCAGCGAGAGCAACATCTGCTCGAAGTACGGGCCCTGACAGTCGAAATAAGTCTTTAAGATCTTGCCATTGTACGTGGAACGGCAGCTAATGGGGTGTAGATCCAGGCGGAGTGCGCGGGCGTTCAAGATAGAGAAGGAGTGGAGAATCGTTGAGTGCCGAGTGGATACGGACGAACGGGGTATGAATATATACCCATGTGACCCAAGATCCACCACGCATATCCAGACATGTCCGAGAAGCATACATCCAGGATGTAAGCGGACGGTTGGGGCGAAATGGTATTATTTCATTTTGTTGGACGGTTGACGGTCAAGCAGGGGAAACGATGCGATAGAAAAACAACAATCAGCATCCATTTGATTACACTTCTCCCTGGGACAAGAAAGGACGAGGAGAAATACTGCTACTCACGTTCCCAACGAATAGAGTTCTATTTGGTGGATTTCCACCTAGGCCCATCGCAAAGCCACTAGAATTCATGATATCTCTGTTACTTGCCAATACGCTGCCTAGCCCACTGTGATTCCTGCCATCTATCGCCCCGCTCGTCCCAGGGCGTTGCTCAAGATCGAAAATCGACTTGTCAAGGAGCGCTTGCTCAAGGATGGAATTGGAAATCGAGCGACTGTGTAGGTGCAAATGAGGGTGCGATGGTGGACTCTGAACGGAGCGAGCATGCATAAGAGGCGGTTGAATATGTGCAGGGAATATGGGGGCGGCAGAAGTGGTGATCGATGGTGGAACGACGGACTGCGCGGCCGGCTGACCATAGTCAAACTCGTCGCGGGGAATGTCCGCGCCTAACGTAATGGTGTAAGGGAAAGGCGCATGCACGGAGACGCACATACCAGCATAGTCTCTATTCCCTGCAGGCAGACGATCAGGTCTCACTTCCAGCACCCTCGTTTGCCAGTCATAGCCGTTATACATGTCTACTGCTCTCCCCGCATCCTCTGCAGTCGCCAGTAGCACCGTCCCATATCCACGAGACCTATTATCAGGTCCAAGAGAAACGTCGGCCCGAAGAACAGTTCCCGCTTTGCGGAAGAGATCCTTCAGGTCTTGCCACCGCACGCGGTAGGGTAGCTAGCTCGCTTTAGCGGCGCGCCGAACCGAAGAAGGCATAAACGCTCACATTTCCAACGAAAAGCTGGGTACGTGTGTCCCGAGGCGGGCCCCCTGGCCCACCCCTACCGTCGGGGGTGCTGCGGGATGTATTAGAGGTGGCCATTTGGATTATGGCTTCAATGTCATCGTTAGTCGGTGTGCGCGGCGGTTGCGTGGGTGGCACTGGGGCTGGACTGGGTGAGCATGCCGAGGACGGCGGGTAGGATGTGTTGTTAGCCGTCGTGTTATTCGTTGAAGGGGCGTGGTCACCGTCACTGGGAAAAGACAAATTTTGAAACATATCCTGCCTCCATGCACAACAGTGCCCAAGTCCAAGGAGAAACAGTGAAAGAGCGACAGCGAATTCGGTGGTCTTGGAACAGAAAATTGAGCTGGAACCGGTGCTCCCAGTACTCCACTCGTTTGACCATGTTTACTCGAAATCGATCGTATTACCAAACCAGGGAATAAACGCTTTCTCGCGCCCATTCACTGCGACGCGTGCGCCGACGCTTTCAGACACGGCGCCGCCCGCCGCACTACATGCTCTGACAGCTTTTCATGGTCCTTTTCATACTAATCCTCACATCTTACTGGCGCTTTCAACGTATGAAGGGCCCACGCCTGTGGTACGGACGTCACGTAAAAACCCTTTGTTTATCCACTTGGACTGCATCATGCCGATAGCGGCCGCGCTGCGAAGCACTTCCTTAAACCCATGCATGCAATACTTACACGGATCCTGGACCATGGGGTCCCAATCGCATGGCGTTCTGGGCTCAATGTCATTTGTCGGATGGTCTTTGTTCCGAGCTGACTTACCGTTCGTGTCAGACATTCATAATCGATTCGAAGAACTGAATTCCAAGGACTCACAAACCTTCCTTGGGCTGAGGGTCTCGAACCGCTGGCTTTTGTGCGCAGTGCCGTGGCAATTGTGCCTGCATCACTCATCAGAAAGTATGGCAGTTGTGGTCACAGGTGCAAGAATAAGGAGGAATAGGCAAGAACTCTAAGGAAGTAAGTACTTCGGGGGGTGGGTAAACTAGCAGCCGACAAGCTCATGGGATCAGCGGCCTTGGGAAGTAGCCAATCTAGGCAAGCACTCACCTCTACGCGAATTAATTGAAGTTCTTAAAGAGGTATGAATTAATCCATCCTCTCGAGCCTCGAATTCAAGGCCAAATGTCACGAATAGCGGGGGTGTCTATGGCAGAGCAATGTCACAATGTGTGATCCAGAATGGTTTATTCGATCCATATAATATAGAAATGTGTGCTGATGATGTTACAGATGAATGATACAAGAGAGCAGAAATGTCGATACAGGCGGACGAACACAAGACTTAAACCTCCTGGCTGTTGCCGTCCTTCTTGCCCTTCGCCGTTTTGCTGGGGAGCAGCTAGATAAATTGGAGATGAATATTTGGTGGCGACATAAGCAAAGACAGCGTACTTCGGGGTTGATAAATGGCACAACACCACCTTGGGAAATAACAACGTCACCAAGTAGTTTGTTCAATCTATTCATTTAGCAGGTCAGTCCGTCGCTCAACACCTTTCAAGGTAGGTCAGACGTACTCTTCGTCATTTCGAATAGCCAACTGCAAGTGCCGTGGGACGATACGTTGCTTCTTGTTATCTCGCGCGGCGTTGCCAGCAAGTTCCAGAATCTCAGCAGCCAAGTACTCGAGGACTGCTGCAAGGTAAACTAGATGCCATGTTAGTACACGCGCTTATAGCACTCGTGTCAAGAATAGCTCACCAGGTGCACCAGCACCAACACGCTGGGCATAGTTGCCCTTCTTCAGAAGACGATGCACACGACCGACAGGGAATTGAAGGCCTGCTTTCGCAGAGCGGGATTGGGTCTTCGAGGAATCGCCACCAGCTTTGCCACCGGAGGATTTGCCAGATTTTCCGCCCTTGCCAGACATTTCTACTGAAATTTGATGAGAGGAGAAGGGTGAGTTGCTTGGGTTGAGTGGTTGGGAGTGGCGAGGGTGGTGGTCGTATACAAGGATTCGGTGGGCAATTTTTGAGGAGACCCTCCGTATTTATAGTCAGAGCAAGGGTCCACGACGCGAAATAAAGTTCATTGTTTGTTTATCAACAAAGTCACGTTTATCGCGTTAAAGTAAACAACGCCAAATTGACGCGCTTGTTTATAATCTTCACGTATCTTAGTCTCCGCCACCAACTCTCTCGACATCCCGCCATCACCATCGTCAACGTCTTTACAAATCTAAGCAATGGCCCCCAAACCCGCTTCTACCGCCAGCAAGGCTCCTGCTACTGCCTCCAAGGCCCCCGCTAAGACCACCGCTGAGGGCGGCTCGAAGGCTGGCAAGAAGACGGCAAAGCCCGCCGCCTCAACTGGTCCTGATGGCGAAAAGAAGAAGAGAAAGAAGTCGAGAAAGGAGACCTATTCTTCCTACATCTACAAGGGTATGTTTAGTCACTATCGCTGTAATGAAGCGGCATCCTGAGTTGCCCTCGTCCAGTGTTGAAGCAGGTTCACCCCGATACCGGTATCTCCAACAAGGCCATGGCCATCTTGAACAGCTTCGTTAACGATATCTTCGAGCGTATCGCTACTGAAGCATCCAGTAAGATATCCCCCTATCTGGATCATCTCGCCCGGGCTGACCCACTGCTCCAGAACTCGCCGCTTACTCTAAGAAGTCTACAATCTCTTCGCGAGAAATCCAAACATCAGTACGGCTTATCCTCCCTGGTGAACTTGCCAAGCACGCCATCTCAGAAGGAACGAAGTCCGTTACGAAGGTTTGTACCCACGTTCCTTCGTCACTTCACACACTTAATCCATCTACAGTACTCTTCAGCGGGTGCCAAGTAAAGGCTTCTCTACTTTCTTACTGTTGTATTTCTGTGCATCATTTGTCCATAGCGTCGATTCTCTTTATTCTATTTATTGTATTTTACTTCCGATATACACTTTTCAAGCCTGGATCCCCATCAAGTGTGAACGACGTTTCAAAGCGCGAAGAAACTGCCTAAGATGTACGTTACTAGAACCCATTTGTTACTATTGGGCTCGAAATTGGTGGTCGAAATGAGAAATGACCACACTGAGGCCTACTCCTGACGCCCTCAAGCGTCGCATTCATCACTTACGTCTGCCGCACATCGTGGGAACTCCTCTTCTAACGGACCGATCAAACGAACTTGGAGTTCTACTGTTCTTCAAGATCCACTAACCTTCCTTCAGCAGGCAAGAAACATGGCAGACGCTGGTGAGACTAGGCATAGGATATGGTATCTTTCACTTGCGCTTACATCTTCTTATTGCTTACTTGTCAAAGGCTTCTTCAAAGGCACCTCTGCCGAACAGGATAGACGGTTTTCCGACAAGGAACTCAAGCTGCTCAAAAGCATGAAGTTCCCCCCAGAATTCGACAAGAAGGTATGAATAACGCCTACTACTGGTAGCGTAGTTTTCTCATTCATGTTCAAGGTGGATATGCGAAAAGTTAACCTTGAAGTTATCAGACCATGGGTTGCGAAAAAGGTGACAGAACTAGTTGGTTTTGAGGACGAAGTGGTTGTGGAGTACGCAATGGGGCTTTTGGAAGACCAAAAGCAGTCTGTGAGTCTCTTTGTCCGGCTGCTTGGCCTACGAAGCTCATAGCAGCCCCAGTTTCCGGACCCCAAGAAAATGCAAATCAATTTAACTGGATTTCTAACGAAGGATACCCCGGCGTTCATGCTTGCGTTGTGGAAGCTACTTTTGGAGGCTCAAGAGGAAGTGAGCGGTGTACCCCGTACGTTCTTGGAAGAGAAAAAGGAAGAAATGAGAAAAGCTAGAGAAGGCGACGTCAGAGCCATTGACGAGAGGGATAGACGGGCTCGGTTGGACGATATACGGGATGGTAGAGGTGGGCGCGGCGGACGGGGGGACGGTCGTGGGCGGGGCAGAGGTCGAGGTCGGGGCAGAGGTGGCTATGAGGATAACGGAAATGGTAGACCGCGTGATAGCGGTTGGGGCGGGCGGGGTGGAGCACCAGAAGGGGTAAGTCCCATAGTTTACAGCAAGTGCACTTGCTGAATGTTTATATTCCCCAGCGTCCGCGCCGTCGTTTCGCTTCCCGTTCTCCTCCTCGCCGACGATCACCTTCGAGGTCGCCTTCGAGGTCTCCGGGTCCAAACAGACGATATCGCTCTCCAGCAAGGCGACGATCGCTTTCTCGAGACGTACAAAGCTCTCGTTCCCCTCCACCTCGCCGCCGTTCACCCCCTCGTCGTTCGCCTTCGAGATCATTATCACGCTCTCCGCCTCCGAACAGATCGAGAGGTCGTTCGGCTTCAATGACGCCACCACCCCGCAAGGGACGTGGACGTGATAGCCCAACCCCACCGCCTCTGAAGCACCGTATATCTTCGGCCCGTTCTCCATCTCGATCGCCCTCGAGGTCCAGGACGCCTCCCCGACGACCACCAAGGCGTCGCAGTGCCTCCCCGCACAGACGCAGAAGCGCAAGCCCCCCGAGACGTCGGCGGCGTCGATCCCCTTCAATGTCTTCACGATCTCGTTCGCCGCCTCGCAGGAGAGGCGAATCTCGGAGGCGAAGTGTCAGCAGGGATCATAGACGAGATGCTACCGGCAGGAGCAGCAAACGTCAGCGCCGCAGTCCCAGCCCCTCAGGCAGTGCATCCTCTGGCAGTAAGAACACGCGTCCGAACGATAAGATGGATGTAGATAAGTTTCCTAAGGGAGAATTGAAGATTAAAGGCCAGGCAGAGGTCGAGCGGAAGAAGAGTAATTGGGACGATGATCTTGATAGTCCGGTTAGTTAGCTTGTTCTGGATCTTTGGCTCGTGACATCATGCGAGATTATCTGTGCAGGTTTTCATGCAGACCCAAGAAGAACTTGAAAGGCGAGAGAATGAGTTGAAGGAGAAAGCGCTGAGGAATAAGGTCATGAGGAGCCGCAAAGCTACGTGACCTTGGATCTTCGGAGGATATCTTTTTGGGAGGTTAGGATTAGTCTCCTCTTAGGTCAGTAGCATCGACGTTGTATTGGCGTGCAATTTCAGCGTCGACTTTGCTATAGACAATATACTGATGATGTGTTGCCTCTTTTTCGAGTGCCAGATAATAATTCAAATCATTTGCTGTTACCAACTCCCTCTTGCATCCGCACCATGCGGCATTAACACTTGGGTACCAATCCAGGGAGATATACCAAGAGCAGCCATGCTCTTCCCGTCTCTGCCTGAGACAGTAGAAGACGGAGCAATCCCGGTGCAGTATCCCCGCGGATGTTGATCATATGGAGCTCACAGTCCAATGTCATTTTTCCGAAATTCAAGATTATTTTCCATAGCTCCACTCGCGCCTTCTAAGAGGTTGGTACTATCTCTAGGTGACTGCCTTGTGGTCATCAACACCTAGGGTCCTCCCGCTCTGGGGTCATTCGATTTCTCCGCCCTGGATGATAGTGTGGACATCGGCAGAATTTGCTCAGAACACCCCTTTGGTGAGGAAGAAATGCGGAAGTAAAGTTGCACTTGTCGTGTAGGGTATGTCATTCGATTTTGCTTCGCAACGGGGCCGGGGAGTATCAGGTATAAAAAGAGGGAGAATGTTGGTCGGTCAATCATATCATCCGCCTGGAAATCAAAATGCTCCTTCAGTCGTTTGCCACTGTCGCTTGCCTCGTTGCGTCTGCGGCGGCGCATGCTACCTTCCAACAACTATGGATAAACGGTGTCGATGCAGGATCATCATGTGTCCGCACTCCAGCTTCCAACTCACCCGTGACGGATGTCCTTAACAACGTGAGTCTCTTCCGCTCAATATCTCATTGTCAGTCACTAATCGTCCTGAAAGGACATTGCGTGCAACGCCAATGCCGCCTCGAGTGCTGGTATCTGCAATGTTCAACGTCTGTGCTATTGTTTTTATCTTGGTGAACTTCCTAACATGGATCCTCTCTTACAGCTGGCGACAGTGTGACGGTTGAGATGCATCAGCAGCCTGGCGACCGCTCTTGTGGGAGTGAGGCCATTGGCGGAAATCATTTTGGACCCGTTATCGTATGTAGTTAATTCCTTCCAATACCTACCTTAGTCACTGACGCGCTGCGTCCTCTCTAGCTCTCTATGGCCAAGGTCGCCGACGCCAGCACTGCCGTAGGCTCAAGCGCGAGCTGGTTCAAGGTCCACCAAATGGGTCTTGTCTCAAACAACCCACAATACTTTGGTTCCCGTTAGTGATCATCGTTCATTTATCCAATATTACTCATTTAACCTTGTCCTTCTAGAGGTCCTCAACGTGAGTATAAGATTAACGGGACATTAATCATCTCTCTCTGTTACTTACGAAACTCTAGAATAATTGCGGGCACTATACCTTCACTGTGCCGTCCGGCCTTGCTCCTGGTAATTATCTTCTTCGGGCGGAAGTGATTGGTAAGTCGTTTGTAGAATATATCATCACCACTAATTGACACGAGGGTTGATTAGCATTGCACTCTGCTTCTGGCGTCAACGGTGCCCAGTAAGTAACCCTTATTTCTTTCCTGATATTTCGCTAATATTGATCGCCGTTCAGATTCTACATGTCATGCTTCCAAATCAACGTTGGTGGATCAGGTTCAACAGTACCCTCTGGGTATAGCCTGCCTGGTGCTTACAGTAACACGGACCCCGGCATCCTGATCAACATCTACCAATCGCTCTCCACTTACGTTGGTATGTATCGCAGATTCGCACCCTTAGGGCTGAAGGACAATGCTAACGATATGTGTAGTTCCTGGCCCCACATCAATCTATGGGACTACAGCGCTTCCCATTGCGACGACCGCCTACCCAACTACCGCTACTTGGAATACCGCTCTGCAGCCAACTACTGTTCCGACGGCCGTACCAACCCCTGGTCAACCAGGAATAGGGACGGCATAAATTCCATAGCGTATCCAAATTGACAACATCATTGTGTATGTTTATACTCGAGTATGCATAATTGTAGAGGTCAGTACCGAGTGCTCCCGCAATCCTTCGTTCATTTTGCAAAATGCCGATGATTCTGTTCGCTTCAACAAGTCTGGTATGATGGGAACAACTGTACGGCGACAACATTAGCTAGGCAAAAGCAAGAGCAAGTAAACATACATGGCATTCTCCGATAGTGTCGACTGTTCGCTGCTTTCAGATACAGCATGTCGAACTACTGAAGTCCTGACTTCCATCAATGTGTATCTATTTCTGAGTTATGCAGCCACTTACAAACAAATGGTCATCAGGATCTGTGACACTTGTCTCTGTAAAGCGTGTACAATCCGAACGTTTAGCGACCGTTCATCGACAGCCAAGAAATGCGAAATTGTCTCGAGCTCCAGTCCTTGGGCAGGCCACGCCTAGTGTATGTTGTCACCCTGGCAAAAGCTTATATTCCGGTCGTCTTAATACGATCAGTCTGTCGTCCCAGAATTTTTGGTTCATGAACGCTGAGTAAAAAGAAATTGAACCAAAAAAAATGCTCCTGGCAAGGCTCGAACTTGCGACCTTTGGATTGCTCACAGAAGACTGTGATCATAACTAAGTATGAGACCAACGCTCTAGCCAACTGAGCCACAGAAGCTTGGTGCCCGCCTCTTCTGCTAAGTGACTGAGAGCGCATCCTCTGACGAGGTCTATCACTAATTCAGAATATTGGTGCGCCGCCCGCTATGTAGTATCTGAGGGGCGTAGTACTTTCTATGTCCGATGCTTGCACTACGTATCCCGAAGGTTTTGAGCCCCGGGACACAGTCAAAGTCGAACGATGAAGCTTTGGAGCATAAAAAGGCCTGAGAACTGGGAGGGAAAGTATCGCGAAACCTTACGTAACAAGTCCCACGTGCAATTTGCGCCTCCAAAATCTACGGTCGATACTCCCAACGACCACCGCAGCCTCTAAACACACATCCTTGGCCCCCCTCTGGTATTTCCAATGGTAAGTCGCGTCTATACGTATGCTGGAGCCCGCAGGAGGTGTCGTTCAGCAATCGAGCACTATTTCTGCGATGGATGCTGAAATCACCGTCTGGATGGATGTCATTGGGCCGGGCTACTAGTTGGGATGGATTACTGAGTGATTTGCTGGTATAGGCCTCCGCAGAACTTGCCACGACATACGCCGCCCTCATCCTTGCCGATGACAACGTTGAAATCACCGTGCGTCTAACCCCCTTCGTTCAATTCCATTAACTGATCTTAATACCGAACCTTTCTCTTTTGATGTGTCCCCCGGCTGCATTCGTCTTCCCTACTTGCCCGTTCCTAACTCTTCTACGCCACTTAAAATCTAGTCCGACAAAATTACTGCTTTGACCAGCGCTGCCGGCGTTGACGTCGAGCCGATATGGGCAACCCTGCTCGCTAAGGCTCTGGAGGGAAAGAACGTAAAGGAGCTCCTATCAAACGTTGGATCAGGTGGAGGTGCACCTGCCGCTGCACCCGCTGGCGGCGCTGCTGCCGGTGCCGCCGCAGCTGAAGCACCAAAAGAAGAAGAGAAGAAGGAGGAAGAGAAGGAAGAATCAGACGACGACATGGTATGTAGAGCCATCGCCCGTGCGATTGACATAGTAAAACTGACCGATGCGCAATTTCTTCATGTATCCAGGGCTTCGGTCTCTTCGATTGATCCATTCTTACAGCTTTCATGTACCTATTGCATGCATCATCATATTACCTTGCAAATCACATTGTGGGCTTGGCAATTGGAGTGTCTGACGACTGCAAAGCTCAGACAGTATCAGTCGATATACGGTGACTGGAACTATATTCATGATACGTCCATGCCCTGCTGCGTACCCGACCCTTTCGTTGAGCTACCTGTTAGCGCCTCGAGACAATCCGAGCATCCTTTCCTAATGACTAGAGAGCTAAAGGGGGGGGGGGGGGGAGTCGTCTTCCCCAGGGCCATGGCTGATCGACTTTCAATGTAGCCTGATATATCATCCAGGGGATGACACTCGAGGACAGTTTAGTTCTGTTATTTTATGCTAATTACTTTACATTTACATCTGTACAGAACGCTGTAGTGTCTAGTATGTTCTTGATCTCCTAACTCCTTGAGAAGGTCATGTGGGCGCGGAACGAAAAAGTGGTTCTCATTCTCGTACCTCGTACACCATCACTCATCACAAGGCCTGCCCAACCCTGCTCTTTCAACATTGTGCATGCCTACCCATGTCGCAATTATTGGAGGCGGTCTTTCCGGCCTTTCAGCGGCGTTCCATTTGTCGAGGCGGTTCCCCAGCACTCTCATCACAATTATCGAAAAGCACACCAACCTTGGCGGCTGGGCACAAAGCGATCGGATACAAGTCAAGGACGAGCACGGCCGGCCATCGTCAGTGCTGCTAGAGTCAGGCCCCCGAACCTTGCGCCCCAATGCGAACTCGGTTCTCGAGCTGGTGGGATACCGTTGTCGTTGGCATTCTACACGATTTGACTAGCTCAATACAAGGCTAGGTTCACCTTCTCGGTCTCAAGGACTCGCTAGTCTTGACACCCAGAAGCGCTGCTGCTGCCCGGAAACGGTTTCTGTACATATACGGCACGAAGGGCCTCACACCCCTCCCTTCCAGCGTCGCGACTCTCATATCCTCGCCGCTCCGGTCTCTGTTCTTGCGTGCAGGTCTCCGAGACACCTTCATCGGACGTCGGCATCGTGCTGGAGACGAAAGCGTGGACTCGTTCTTGTCACGACATTTCGGAGAAGATTTCGCACTGACGCTGGGGAGCGCACTCGTGCATGGGATCTACGCTGCCGATTCGCGGAAGTTGAGCGTGCGTGCGGCGTTCCCGACGCTTTGCGAGGCGGAGAAACGAGGTCGCGGGAGAGTGATTGCCGGCTCGTTCTTGTCGTCACCCACGGCCGCGAATGAGTATGACCTGGGCGATATGAAGTCGGTAATGGACGGGATATCCGTCTATTCGTTCCGCGATGGCCTTTCGACTATCGCGAACGCTCTGCAAGCGCACCTAGCTTCTAAACCCAACGTTCGCCTGCTCCTCGGAACTGGGGTGTCACGGCTATCGATAGGTGACGATGTGGAGGTAACTGAACGGTTAATTACTCGACGCGTCGCGCTTTAACTTTATTACTAGGTTACCACGTCTACAGGGGAACAGATAAGGCCCACCCATGTCGTCTCCGCGTTACCACTCCCCCAGCTCCAAGCCCTCCTTCCACCATCCTCGCTACCGCACCTCGACGCCAACCCCTCGTCATCGGTCACGGTGGCGAATTTCGTATTTCCAGCGTCATCCCGCTTCCATCCCGAAGGGTTTGGATACTTGATTCCGCGTCCCAGGGCGGGCTACGGAACGGCTGAAAATCCAGGCATCCTTGGTACGGTCTTTGACTCGTGCTCGCTCGCAGCGCAGGACACGCCTTGCACTCCGCCGATCAAGGTCACGATGATGCTCGGTGGCCCGTATGGACGCGCGGATATGGCAGAGTCTACGCTGCTCCGGCATCTGGGATTGCATCTAGGGGGTGTGAGACTGCCGGAGGTGCTGCATTCGCGTATGCAGCATCATCGGGACTGCATACCCACGTTTACTCCAGGGCATGTGGAGCGAATGGGCGAGCTGCGACGGGTTCTACGTGAAGGGCCATGGAAAGGCCGTTTAGAAGTGATTGGTGCTGGTGTTGGGGGAGTTAGTGTTGGTGACTGCGTTGAAGCTGGAAGGAACGTTGGTACGGATTGGTAGTGAATATCCGTACAAAACATATATCTCGAGTGGTTAGTCCGTACAAGATATATATCTCGAGTGACTGAGTTGAGTCGCGCGACTCGCGTTCAATATATCGCATAGACGCCAAGCGAGCTAAGCGCCTAACATGAAGCTCACGTGGATTTGACCACGTCGGAGAGCTGCCCAGCCAGGGCGTTGACGTCCACGACTGCACCACATCAACATCCTCCATTTCTCTGTCCCCTCCTCACCTCAGTCCCCTTTATTCAACCTACCTGACGGGCAGATAGCACACGACCTCACGAACAGAACCCCCGATAATGGCCCCGTCCAAGAAAATGAATGGCGTTTCGTCGCCTATACTCTCAGAGTCAGAAGACGACCGACCGCGAGGGCCACTCAGCATCGTGGTGCCTGCCTCCGAACGCGAGGTCATCAAGGTCAACAACGCTAATCTGACAGACCTGAAGAATGCGTGTGACGATGCAGTGAAGCGCGTACGTCGTGTGCCGTTCATTCGTCTGTAGAGGGGCTCGTTAACTCGGCTATGCGGCGTGCAGTATCTTTCACGACCGGATTTGTTCAAACAGATACATCAACATACGGACGTGCGGCTGGCGTTTGGCTGGTCGAGTGTCTTTGTTGCTGCTGGCACGGCGCTGTATGGATATAAGGTCGAATTCGAGACATCAAAGCCTGTCGTGTGGGCTGGATTGATACTGTGCGTATCTCACTTGTGTCTATGCGGTGAGCGGGGCCTGACGTGTTGGACAGATATATCATTCTCACCACCCTGCAAACATTGTACGCCTACTTCATCGAAGGGGATATCGTATTTGTTGGCAAGCGAAAAACATTTTCTAAGCGGGTCAGTTGAATCGTATACTCCTTCCGCGACTGCCTATCCTTACCCGCTGCATTGCGATCTACAGATAGTGACCGAGAGAATAACACTTTCTTCAAAAACTACACCTTCCAAACCATCGTCACCCCCTACGTACTCGCTATCAGTCGCCTACGTCCGCTCGACAAACGGCGGCAAATCACTATTGGCTCGCGGAAAAATGCAGAACGCAAAGAGCTACGGCGGGTTCTTCGACGAAACTGGCGTGATGAACCAGGAAATCTTCGAGGAATGGGTCGGTAGCTTGGTCGAGCAGGCCATGGAGGGGAAGACAGCGTAGTATTTGAGGCAATCGACGGTTTTGAACTAATACTTGATACTTATACACGCTGGGAGTAGGATGTCGGAGGTTTGGTATGCATGGTATGATACCTTTCTAACGAGACTGTACGATCACTTTATAACTTATGTCGCGGCCATACATCTCTTGATTTCTCTCCCTCGGAGCCATATCGCATCAAGGTTATTCTTCGGTTGACTGTTGCAGATAAGTATTCAAATAGCAAGCACGTTCCAATTCAGATAGCAGCAGGCATTGGCTTAGCATCTACCCAACCGCGGACTGGTAAAACATTCTGAGCGTGCTCATCTCACACTCCGGTCCGCCTATAGAGTTCGACGCAAGACAGCGAGGTACCCGTAGATTGTGGCTTTGATGATCACTCTATTTGCTGTGAACGCTTGAACCTTGAAGGAGCCGACGAAGCAGCACTGTATCGATTATCGCCCCCTAGATTCAGGACGATGTGGGGTTCACGACAAGTACTTTCTTGGGAAAGATGAAAATCGCTAGTAGATTTCGTACAGACGAACGTGGGTACAGTATCGGCGGTCGTCAAGTCTTTTCCCTCATACTAAATCAATTTCGCTAAGAAGGCAGAATCCATATAGACAAAGTGACACACCATTGAAGTTTCCTTCGCGGTGTTATGGGTCTATAGTTGGTCCTTTAGTATGTGCGGTAATAGAACGAAGCACTCGGTGAAAGGGGACAGATATTAGAACTGACATACTACGGTACGGTGTTCCGAGCAGTGGTATCGTGACTGCGAGTAGCGAGACCAAACTAGAATCTGCTCGCCGACGCATCGTTCATGAGAGCTTGATGGTAGATCACAGCAGGTCTGTGAGAAGGCGACCGGCCCAGAAGGTCCCTCATTCTCAGCGGGCGGGCTGGAGGCGAGCACGCAACGTCATGATAGCAGCTCAGATTTCGAGAAGGAGACCACATTACTCGCTCGACCTTCGTTGTATATTTGTTCTCGGATGTACCGACCCTGAAGGAAGGGCAATGACGTCCTCAAGAACCAGAGTGAGGCCTCGTTGTCGACGGTCGGGGCGATGACGCATTGCGTGTGCCAGTAATAAGCCGTCCGTGACATCGACACGATATCGCCCTTGATGTATGTGATGCTTAAGGTGGGACTATTCCCGTACCTTCCTCCAACCCATTCGACAGGATGTCTGCCGTGAAGCTCGAGAAGATTTGGGCCGATAGGGATATTAGACGATCTCCCAGAAGGTTGGATCCCCGTTGCCTACTCCGAGTGACGACGACGAAGTTACAGAAAATGGATGCCCAAAGATTCTTCCGCGCGGTGGTGGCACAGATCGCCGTGTAGATTATGCGGGCGGTATGTTTCTGATGGCGTCGAGAAGGGAGAATCTTGACGCACACGTCCAATGAGAGGACGGGCGTTGATCATCTGGTCTGGTGCTTGTGAGCACAAGCGCTGAGGTTTGAAGCGGTCAGTCAGTCGTTTCGAAGGTGTGGCAAGTTTCTTCCGAGAAAGGATGTATTTCATGAAGCAGCCGCGGTGAACTTGGAATTTGGAATGGTGGGCCGGTGTAGCACTTGTTTATTGAGCGAAGGCATCGGCGAAGTACATTCAAAGCCTACGGCACGCTTCGGCCCATTCATATTATCTCTCATCCTCTGAGGCTTCCGGATCCTTTTCAGGTTCTCGTTCCCCGTTCGGACGGAGTTTATCATATTTAGCCAAGAGAGCCTCAAGCTCCTCAAGACTCGAACAAGAGCTAAGTTTGGCTCGAAATTGTTTATACCAAGGCCGTCGACTACTATTGCCGACCATTATCATCGATCCTGAGGACAAGGAATGAGAAGCTCTAACTTACTGCTTCAGTTCAATGAAATGTCGAATGTGGGCTCTGATAGTTGCGATGGTCGCGGTCCCGGGATGATCCTGACATATACCCAAATATTCTCGTGATATCTGGAACGGATCGGGGGTGATACTAGAGAATAGGCTATTGGGGATCAACGATCTATAACGGACCTGATGTCGAGAAGGGGTAGGCTAACCAAGGATTGGACAGTAGAGCCTCACCGACCATAACGCCGTCTGCACCTGTAAGTTCCTGATTCTGAACCACGTCTGACCATTCACGGACGTTACCGTTGCTAATCACAGGAATACCGAGGGCGTCTTTGAGAAGCTTTACTTGATTAAGATCAGCAGCGCCGTGTCTCCTACGGCGTGATGAGACCGTTCGAGCATGTAGTGTGATCCAGGAAGCGCCTGAGCACTCGAGTTGGCGAGCTAGTTCCATGGTGCTGGCGGCAGGATTGCAAAGCCGCAGTTTAGTTGAGACCGGAACTGCGAATGAGTGGGCCATGGCAGACACTAGGCTCCTGTCAGACGACGGACTGTTGAAAGTGATATTTTCTGAGAGAGTGCATACCGATACTTTTGACTAAGGGCCAGTCTTTCTGCGCGAGCAAGTAGCCTCCGTAGTGCCCCTCGGCGGCCGCCTTTTGTGGGCAACCTAAATTAAGGTCTGCATGACTTGTATAGTTGCATTATTGATTTTGTCACCACATGTCGAACCCCAACGTACCGATGCCATCACAGTAGCTTTGGATCGTCTTCCCTCCACGCACGACGGTTTCAGGGTCATTTCCGCAAAGCTGAACCACCACAGGCGTGTCTAGCTCGGAGTCGCCATTGTGATACGAAAGATCACGCAGATGGAACTCAAGATAATCTCTATCCTGAAGCAGCTTTTCTGGAAGGAGCATCTGAGTGTATGCTAAGGTCGCGCCGTATCTTCTAACCAGCAGACGAAAGGGAAGATCCGACTGATTGACCATGGGGGCCGCAACGAACGACAGATTTTCCTGGATCATGGTCGTCGATGACTTGTGGACGGAGGCAAAAGGCGCGATGGTGGCAACGTGACAGACATAGAAGCACACATGGGTGTCGTAACACTGTGGGAACTTCCGCGAAAGAAGAACATAGCCAGACTGCTCACTGTTCCTCGAGGCCACGACGCGTCGGTCATCTTCGCCGCTAAAAGTCTTCTACGAACTGAATCTCCCGACGCAATGACACGGTTTTTCAATGGTCTGGCACTGCTGCACAAGCATCGTGGTGCATTGTATGGACCCATCGAACCGTGGGCACGAACACTCTCGAGAACCTTATGGCGAAGTCTGTGCGAGGGAGTCTTCGTTACGGCCCACATGGTTAGGGACTTCCTGCATAGAATCCCCGATATTCTTATCCGTAATATGCTGTATTAGTTCCCCTTAAAACCAGCAAGTCTCATTCTGCCTCACCTTGACCACGCACAATGATTTCCTTCTCCTGGATTGTGCTTGCCGTCTCTGGACTTTCGTTGTCGGCGGCCTCTTCGTTCTCAGACGATGCGAGTCTTGTCTCACGGGCCCCCGACCCGTGTGCTGCAATCGCAGGCCAGAAATGGGTGGCGCCCAAGGATGCTAGAGCTTGCTTTAAGTCTATTCAAGTTGACCAGACCCTCAAGACTAATGTATGTGGAATGGTTTGCGCGGTAACGGCATCCTGACCTGCGTAACAGATTCTCGATGTCGTGAACAAGACGCTCGCTTTCCATACGTCAGTCAATTACCAGATCCAAGCGCCAGCACCGTTCAATAACGACGTGCACGAGGATCTCCTCAAGGACTTGGCCAGGATCAAGTCCCAGAGATACGCGTCCGACTACGACCTTCACATTGATCTATCCCGGACTTTGAAACGCCTGAACGACGGTCACTGCGTATGGATCAATAGGTGCTTTGATTGTGAGTCTGATCCGGTATGTCGGAGGACTCCCATGTTCATAGCTCCTTCTAGCATTCTATACCAACTTCCTTCCCATCCCCCTCGTGCTGTTAACGGAGAAAGACGGCTCTCAGAACGTCCATATTGCGCCAGAGGCCTTCGATGTTGCTACCGCCGAGTTCCCCGACCAGATCGATGTATGGCAGAATGCATTACCTTTCGGTCTCAAGGGGAATCTCAAAGCTGTATGTATATTATATCGTTCTGGATAGCATCAACTCAAAGCATAATCATAGCTGAATGGCGCCAAAGTCCTTCTTATCAATGGACGTCCGCCATTCGATGCTGTCAACGCCAATGCCCTAATTACTGGTAGCTTCCAGTCATTTGGGACAAGGCAGAATTCGTACGTCGCTGCTATAGCTTTCTCTGCTGGATCGTCTAAAGCAACAACCAATCAGCTTCTTCTCGAGCTACAACCGTGCAGCTACTGGGTGGAATTACATTATGGGCAATTTCGCGCAGCAATCTCTGCCTTTAGATGACAACGTACTCTTGACCATTGTTCGCTCAGGCAAAATCTTGCCAGAGACATTTGTCGTATGTCTATTGACCATCTTCCTTTGTCGTACAACTAACACCTAAGCTAGCTCCCATACCGCTCGCGCATCTCGGCGACAGCTGTTCCTTTCACGGATAAAGCATCCTTCCTGGCTGGAAACTGCAAGGCCGTCGCTGGTACCAACGGTGCCGATGTCAACGCGGCATCTGCCCTTAGCATCGACCCCGCGGAGAGGCCATTGGCCAAGGTCCAGCAGCAACCGCCCATATCTGCGCAAGACGCTCGCAAGCACATGGTGAACGTCTTCATGGATGCTGCTCCTCTTTCGAATGTCGTTTTGCCTCCTGGGTTGCAACCTGCTTTGCCTGCGGTTAACGGCTCCAGGACTGTTGCGCAATTCTATATGCTGAAGGATGGAAAGACAGGGGCTTTGGCTCTTGGAAGTTTCTCTGACAATAGCTTCACGGGCTTGCAAAACAGCCTGTTGAATGGCTTGTTGTCCTTGAAATCGCAAGGTGCTACGCAACTTGTTGTAGATGTGGTACGTGAACAAATGTCCCTCGCTATGGGCGTGTCGTTATATTGATAAACATAATAACAGAGCAACAATGGTGGCGGTAAGTTCCAGGTGCCCTCAAAATGCCGTCCACTCATGTTCTCCCCTTAGGTTTCATTTGCATTGCCCACGTAAGCGACATCTTGATTTGGCGTTGAATTGTTCACTGAATGCTCGAAATACCTCGTAGTGGCTCCATCGCATCGTAAGCCTTTCACCTATTCTTGTGGGATGATATTATCGACGCGAGATCAGATCATAGGTCCCAAAGACACCACAGTGCCACAAGCAGGCCTCGACACCAAGACTCGCGCGGGACCCTTGGCGCAATTGATCGTCAAGCAAATCACCGAGCAGAACCTCGATCCGCAAGGACAATTAGTATTCAACCCGATCCAGTGGAGAAATGCTAGCAACGTATTCTTCGCTGCCGGCCAGGATTGGCTCCAACCGCCTGTAGAACTTACGATCAACGGCCGAAGTGATGCCTTCAGCCAAAGGTACGAATGCTTGATCTTTCGAGGGGTGTGATGGAATTCATGATTTCCGGACTCATCGTAGAATTGGCCAGGAATGTCAGCCCGAGTCCTTCGGTATACCTCCTGATACTGCGTTATTCGCCCCCGACAAGGTCGTTATCGTCTCGAACGGAAGGCGAGTCGTTTCGCTTAAGCGTGTGACCTAAGTTGACGGATATCGCTGTAACAGATGCGCCAGCTCTTGCTCGCTATTCAGTGTCAGTGACAATATCCCTACAGGCGCCGCCATTTCTTAATTGTCCTTTCAGATCACCATGGCAAAGGAAGAAGGCGTGAAGACCGTCGTACTTGGTGGCAAGAAAGACACCAAACAAGAGTACTGCGGCACTGTCGGAGGACAATCGACGGATTTCTCGACAATGGACACTGAGATCAAGGTACGAACTCTGGTCATCAGGCAGCAAACTTCTGAGTTGACTCCGTGAGATCAGACCGCGCAGCTTAAGGACAACGCTCTCGCACCCCCTGATCTGTAAGTGTCCGCCTTGTATTACCGAGTCCACTCCACCCCTCCCACGCACTCGGTCGGTCTTAGCCGGGACCTACTTCTGATCGAAGCTGCTTGACGGACTTCGTTTGACGGACTGCTGTTCCTTCCTTTTTCCGCTCAGCCTCGCGTAGAACGCTTACTGATGCTCTCTGATCTATTAGTCTTGTTAATGGTGTCCAAGGTATTACATGGAGACTGGGATTCGGAATTCAAAATAAGGAGGAACCCGAAGGTTTGATTTTTCGCTTGCCTTCAACCTCGGAGAGACTCTGATCGTGTCTTTACCATGTTTAGAGTGGCAAGACCACCCAGCTGATCTGAATCTACCTCTCACGCTGAGCAAGTAAGTGCAGAGATTATGTGCCTTGGCGCTCTTAAAGCGCAAGACGGCACGCTTCGACGATGACCTGAACTAACAAAATTTGCTCCTATTCAGTGTCAACAATCCCGTCGCCATCTGGGAGGACCTTGCATCTCGCTTTTTCTCGTAGGGCATCTCCGGTGTAAACAATTTTCAATCAAAATAGAAGTGATGTATTTTTGAACGCTGAATTTCGAATACGTGGTAACGACATGAGTACCACCGCTTGCAAGTGCCGATATCAGGGTGATGATTTTGATTGAAGAGGCAGAATGGTACATGCATCCCTCGTAGGCCCGTAACCAGACTTCTGCCGCGAATGCGACACCAAGAGTGTCAGAAACACCGAAGGCCCGTTATCGCAGCGCGCCCAGCAACTCCACCTTTGATACTCGTCTCTCCGCTCGCGAAATTTTCAACCGGTCCGGAGTCGTAGCTTGATGGCGGTAAGTGAGAAGGGGATTCGTCGAAAACACATATCTTTCCCATCCACTCCTCTGACTTGGTTTTGTTTGACATAGGTGGCGGGATCCTGAGAGATTTGCAGCAGCGAGTTGTACGTATTGTATTCATGTGCCTACGATATGTACGCACTTCGGCCGATATACTAGATAGGTCAAGCTCAAGTCTTTGAAACAAAATTTTCAAGGTCGATGATGACGATAACGGCAGAGGCATGTATACAGTATGTCGCGTATATCGTCGGTGGAGTATCGGTCTCGCGTTTATGGAGTAGCGTGAACGTGGGGGCGACTCCAATATCTTGATCAAGTCCCTAGCGTTCCGACAACTGGCAATCGACGGCTACGTAACGGAGGACTAAGCGACGCATGTACGCACTCAGGAAAGCAGTCGATCGTGAGGCGGTCGTCAATCACTCACGAGAGCGAAGAGACGTAGCGAGCCACGATCGATGCCTCCTCGTGTTATGTCGATGATGCATCCATGACCAGGCGGATGCATTGAACCTGCTACAAAGCCGGGTGAAGTCGGATGTGGCGAGTGTCCTCGGGGTGTTCAACGTTGTATAGAAACCGATAGAAAGGTCGCATTAGCAATTTGGCACCAGCAGGAACATCGCCCAAGTAGTTCCGAGGCCCAATGACTGACCCTTAATTATACATTGTGCACGAAGCGTTAATTCTATGTAGAGTCAACGTGATACAAGACAGGGTATCCATTACCTCAATGCTCGCGTTGTACAGGTCACTTGAGACGAGGGAACAAGGTCCGCGTATGGCAGCCTAACAGCGAGTTGTAATAATGCGCAGCAGTGCGCAAAGATGATGTCGATGATGGACGATCGAGGAACGGCTAGGGTGTTTTTATATGCGGCGTGATGTATTGGTGCGTTGGGGTCGACGATTGGTGCGGCGAGGGTTGGCGAAGGTGCAGGATATTTTTGTCCTCTTTAGACGATTTGTGAGATGCGTATCTAGGGGTAAGCGGAAGGACAGGAGCGAAGGACCAGACGTGGTGAAGGACCACTACCTCATAAAGGCAGGAGCTCATCGTAAGACTGGAGCACCAGGGTCGTACAATCCATCTCGATAGGTAGCCACGCTAGGGAAGGCGCCGATGATCGTCCAATAGCAAACAGGCGTTCGTGTATTCCTCGAGCGAAAGGAGCAACAATAATCGACGGGAGCGAGAGAGAGATCGTTTTCTGAACCCTAAACGTCGGTCGGTCGGGTGGTCCAGAATAATGCAGGTTCGTCGAGAAGGAGGGAAGGGAGAAGGAGAGAACTCATTGTTGTTCGTGTCGTTGATGCTGATCGTTTGAGGCTTCGAATTCTGAGATGTTCGACGTATTTCTGATCGTTTACGGGATCGTCGATAAGAGGGAGTGCAGGGGTGGACGAGTGCGTGCCCGTTTCGACCAGGACAGTAGACACCGGGGGGGCATGGATAATTCCCATATCAGCTGACTAAACGGGTCCACACAGAGCCTGAGCCAGCACCAGATAATGTCAAAGCTACCAGCACCCAATCAAATAAAATGGCTGGACAGACCTTGAAGCTGCCGCACCCGTGATAGACTACGATAGGCAAAATGTCAAACGACGGCGTTGCTTATTGCTTGCAATGCAAAATTAATGAACATCGATCAGAACAGAACCTGAGGCACAGCACCTCCTGATGCAGAATATCTACTACGCCAAGGCCCGGTTCCAGTCTGGGCAATCGGTCTCATGCTGGAGGGGGAAAGAAATTCCCCACATGAGGGAGCTGCATGTGGAATAGACGCTCATCTGACAACATGAACACTGGAGTGATCTTACTGTTCAGCCGAGGCATTGAGTCGCCGTTCAATGAAACCCCGACTAGTGGTGGCAAGAGCCGTAGGCTGGCATCGGCTGCGAGATAGAAAGTTCTGTAGCACGACCGCCATACAACCAATCCTAAACTATGTTGCTAAATCAATGATCCATTAAATGTGGCGCAATGGAAGGTACGTGCGAAACACTCACTTTCTGATTGTGCCGCGAAACTTGTGGACCGGCAGATACACACATGTCGAAGGACCTAGATACCATTTGACCATTTGATTGGTCGGGTTTCTTATCTCTCCATCCGGAGGAATATCGTGCTACGATACTTGCTCTTGCCGTAGTGTTAGTGACACTAACGGTAGAAGTAAAGCACTCTACTTTCTGAATCCTGAGGTCTGAGGCCCGACAGGCGGATAATTGCGGTGTGGGGGACTTTTTACCAGGGAAAGGAAGGCGGGGGAGGGGGATTTTCCGTTTGCAGGGTGGTACTTACTCGCGGAGCCCATTGAGGCTGGAGATTTGCACCCTCGTAACTAACAACAAGGGCCGAAGTCGCGATAATAGGAAGAGAAGTTGTTGGTGCTATTAGACGCCGGCCAAATGTTGGTCATGGGAGACCACACGTGCCGACCCATGATCTTCCTCCTGACTTCGGCCATTTGACGAAAAGCGTCAACGTTCACTGCGTTTTTGAGATTTAGGGTGCCTATTGCCCAGAAGTAAGTCGCGTAGGTACATCACCAATGATGCAGCTTTCTGAGGAAGAACTCACCCTCTTTTTCCCTTGTCAGGATTGATTCCAAACTCCCGGCCTCAGGCTTTGGGTGAGCCTGCCACCTGGTAGCAGCATCGCGCTCTCATCGCGGTGGACCATCTGTGCGGTCCATCCGCCGGGTACACCTTGTACGTATATTATCCGAGCCCACGCTGTTAGAGCTCGATCCACAGCATTTCGCGTTTTGACTTCTTGGGGCTTTAGCTATAGCTTCCCTCGCAAACAGCCTCGCTGCAGCCGGCGGATGCCCCAAGCCGACCATGATGTATGAGCACCGAGAAAAGCGGGGCTGCTCGTGGTCGAGTAAAGTTCAACGCGCGAGGCACGATGATGATTCATCCCAACAAGCTCTTTTCGTTGGGAGAAACCATTCATATTATCACAAGTGATCATATTCTCTAATATTCTATTACACCGTGCCAGCCTCACGTTCGAAGTTCATTAACGCTACTCATCCCAATGCTAGTGCAACCCCGGGCCTCATTGCACACTTACCGTAAGTACATGTACTCGTATCCCAGCACGATACGTATTCTTATTCTTCTTCGAAAGTCCAGAACATTCGCCCGTTCGCGCTTGTCAAATTTAGGACGGCTACAATGACCGTTCCTGAGTCTACGCTAAGTATATACTGATAACATGGCACTGATAACCTCCTCGGACAACTCGAGTTCTCAGCCGCATAAAACCGTCAACAAATGGAAAGTCACCCTAAACGCCAACGCCAACACGTTGCACCCGCCCACGCTCTCACACAGACTCGGCGTATCTCACTGGTTAGTTAGCCGAGCTTGTCATAACCACGACTGGTTAGTGGAAGATGGTATCAATCAACACATTGCTTGTGTTCTCTGATATAGATATTCTTCGACTCTCAGGCTGCACGCCCCATGATACCACGCAGCACGATGCAAGTGATGTAGGTGGCGACTCGCCTGGCAGGCATTCTCGTACATCCTTACCACATACTTTCATAATAGGACCATTAATCCAGATTTCCCAGATAACGCTGCAGCACAATCAGGACCCTCATTTTATTTTGTGCACCTAAACCGAGATATTGGCGTGCGGCGTACCACCGTGGTAGTACCGCGTACCGTGTACCGTGTACTATTCACGCATCGTGGCTTATACCTAATATCCGAGTGCACCGGGAGTTACTTGAGTGTGAGTGAGAACCCGTTCGCTAGCAAGGTTATTGACGTCGATATGCACTCTCATTCTCAGAGGCTGGTGCAGTGATGCAGTGGCGATATTCTGGCTCCACGCTAACTTCCATGCCCTTCCTGGAACGCGTCGCGAAGATGGCCGCGCGTGTTGATATAGCCTAATCATCTATCGTCCAATCAACCACCGTTATCACTCTCGAGGCCAAGGTCTCGAAGAATGCTGCTTTCTTCTTTCGATTCCCTGCTACTAGGCAGCAGGTAAGCCTTCGACTCATGTATTTCCTGATACGCGTACATACGCAAGTGTAGGATGCACGCGGGAACGCAATGTCCACAACGCGTTCGCATCCCTGCTGACCGGCCATATATTCGTTCCAGACTATTCCTCACGAATCTTCAACTTCCTCTCATCCCCATGCCTCTATAAGGGTTACCGCTCAGGTTCGCAGTGGCGTAGACGCAGCCTGCCCCTTCAAGCCTCTGCTTCTCGTAAGTAAGTCACCACAATCGATCCATCGTCAATACATCAAGCTTCCAGTTCCAAATTTAACTTCCGAGGGTCACTTCCACTTCTTAGACAAACATGCAATCATGGTAGCCCTGCGCGGCCCAAGGTTCCTTGAACGGTCTCGACCTCCAGAACTCACGAACCAGAGTCTTTTGCGTGTGTGCGTAAATACAAACGCTGATCATAGCACCCTAATTCGACACATGTGGCACAAGTATGGGATGCCGCACGAAGGGACGCCGTCACGGTGATCGGTGCATGTATTGGGAATCTATTGAATCGGAGAACCATCGATATTGGGTATTGATATTAACTGTCCGATGACCTCTGCGCTCAGATACTGGGGTGGCAATTTGCGGCCGCGATATCTCAAGGAAGGAGGATCTCCGTGAACAGATGTAGATC